TGGAGATGGGTGAGACGCATTCCTCCAAGTCAACAATACTCATCTCAGTTCTCAAAGAGCTCACTGCACCTGAGGTTTGCATTGCCAAGAGCCAGCCTTCCTTTTTCCTGGCTGATGTGACCTTTAAGCCTGTGACTGGTGGACGAGCTTTACAGGCGTGGCCTACAGTCCTTCGTAGCCTGTTCCTTTGACCCTGCATTGGTGCACTTTACTGTACAACAATGGCGGAGAGACAGCCAGTGCATGACCTCAAGAATGTTCAGAGCAAAGCAATGTACGGTGAATGTACAGTTCTGGACAGCAAATGTGTGCCCTGTGAACTTGCCGTGGAGTAGTTGGTAAAACCATGAGAAGTGACGGTCGTTTGTTTGTAAACATTTTCATGATGAAACCGTAAACCACTTGTACGACGCGGGAGGCTTCAGAGCTGAGCAAAGGTTGCCGCCTGCTGGCGCAAGATGGGCAAACGGTCTTGGAGGCTGGGACGACGTGGACGTGAAGGTATCGCACTTGAGAGAAAGAGCTCGCAAGAGCACAATTCCATACAATTCCGGGTGGTCCCAAGAGTGGAGTGATGCTTTACGATCTAGCTACTGCATTGGACGACTAGTGCAAAACGACCTGAAACTGTCAATGGCCATCCGCAAACGGCAAGGTGAAAGATTCCGCAACAAAGAATTTTAAATCATTGAGCTTGAAAGCAGGTACGTGGATTCTGCTTCCTGAGTGCATATCAGTGACTCAGAACTGCCTCTTCGTTGGACAGCCACTGCGTGTCAGGCAGTCCCCCCTGCTAGCGACATAACCCCCTTTCCGAGCAGTGCCCCTGGAAACGGGGCTTTAACACACACACACACGGAGTACAAGATCCACCAGCCCACCTCGTTGGAAGGCCAACCACGTTTTTGCTCGTTTGTGGGGATGGCCTCAAATAGTATTATTTAGATGATTCAGGGACGAACATGCAAGGTGCTTTACTACGGGTTGGGCGTGGGCTGGGGGCATAGCTCGGGCAAAAGCAATAAACATGGGGGAACATTGGATGTGATGCCCACCTTGCGTGCACATTTGGCTTGGAATATATTTATATATATATATATAGGAGGGTAGAGGGCGATGAAGAGAGATAGGAGGGTCGGTTGCAGGTTGCTTGGTGCCTTCGCTTGGCGGGTGCGCGTCCCTTTCTGGAAAAATCTGGTGCTCATCAGGTGCTCGATGATCCTGAGGAGGCTTTCACCTCAGAGGTCTTAGAACTTTGGGCTGGGGACGTGTCACTTGGACCAACCGAGCCTGATGAATCTTACTGTTGGATAATGTTGGTGTCATGGGCAGTTAAATAGAAAGAGCTCCGCAAACATGCCGGCGGCACTCGAGTATCGAGGTGTTGTGTTAAAGTTAAGTGTTCAGTTTTGTGGACATGTTGCAGATTGTAGCGATGCAGCCAATGGGCAGCGATGAATAGCAACGCAAAACGATCGCAGAGTTCCTTGCTCCAGTGACTCTAGTGCATTGTGCACTTCAGGCTGAAGCCACGTTTCAATTGTTCTTGCATGTTCTTGCGAAGGTCACGTTGGATGAGTTCAAACGTAATCATGCCAGGAGAAACGTACTTGTCATGGAGACACAACAAGTAATTATCTGGGCACCTACCGTGTCGTAAAGGAACTATATAAGCCGGTTGCACGTTCAAAGGCTCCTCCAAGTGTTCTGTGCGTCTCAGGATCTTGCAGGTTGTGCCTGACCACTCCATTTCCGTTGTTGAGGGCATCAAGAAAGCCAGTGAACTCAGGGCAGGAGCCTGATCTGCGGGTGTTGGGGACGACTGTGGTGATTTGGCGTCAACCAACGTTCCTCCCAAACAACAGACAGAATCAGAATGTTGCCACTGCCATGTTTTTTTGATGTTTCAGCGGCACGGATTGACCGCACGGACAGAGGGTGAACATTTCTCAGGGAGAGAGTCACGTTGTGTTGACGAAGGCGACATGCCGTTTGTGGAAAAATCCAAGGCCATGTTGCGGTGTTGTGTGGTACAGTCTTCAGTTCCTCCTTGTTTGTTGATTAGTTTCGGAAAAGGGTTTCGATCGGAGTTGAATTTGGCAACTTTGTACTGCCTATATTAGGACAGGGCCTCGGCATTAGCCTTAGGGTCTCACGCAGTCATCAACATGCAATATTCGCATGTTTTCGCCCTGATGAATCAGCAGCCTGTGCAAGCGTCATCTGTGCATGATTCAAGCTTTTTTGCCCTGCAAGGAGACTTAGTCATGGTCGATGGCCGTCCTGCAGCTTTGATCCGAGTGGATGCCAAGAGCATGCCGCAGCCTGCATCTTGGAGTTTGAACTGGTCGTCTCACACGTATCCACTGGTTGATGTGTTCTGGCCCCGCTCTGCTAAAACACCTGCGCACAGTGTTTCGAGGGTGCCGACCTTTTGCGAACCTACGATTCAACATGATTTGAGCACAATCCATCGACCTACAGAACAGGCATTTGGCCAAACGCCACCTTGGTTGGTGGTATCAGCTCTTCGGCCAGAGGCCGCCAGAGGCCTCCAACAAAGAGATAAAATCACACAATGCTGGCCATACAGGCCTTAGGTTTAGATTCCTTGTGACGACTTAAGTCTACACTTATGCACCGACCCGTCACCGACCCTTGAACCCAGCAATGACTGCATCAGGTCCCGGCCGTAAAGGTCACCTTGAGCCCTGAGCATGTTCCTGCAGCGCTCTTCAGCCGCCGCCTGAGTGAAGAAAGTCCCTTTTCTGCGGCAGTTTGAGGCGCGAGCTGTGGAAGAGATGCCAACAAGGTACAAACAGCCAATGATCATCAAAGATGAAAGATCACAAATAGCGCAACAAAATTTAGTCACAAACTTGGATCATGAGCTTTGATCTCGAGTGCCATAGATTACTTTCAGAGCTACTGGGACATTTCCGCATATGACATCATCCGACATGAAAAAGAAGACGCGAGCAGAGCGTCTTGGCTGCGTGCTTTCTTCCATTTCGGATTCCAACGGCAAAGATGTTGCATTGGGCCTGGTGTGCAGACGGGCTCGGTGCATGTGCAGATCTTTGCGTGTAAGGAAATCCAGTGCCAGTTGCGTGGAATGGACCATGGATTTGCTTGTGAATACTGTAGCTCCGATCATTGCCGCCGCAATGATAAGCAGAGTGATGATAATCCCTGAATTTCCGTGCAATGTGCAGCTTGTGCCGGTACAGTAACTGTGACGTTCACAACGAAATGGGATGAAATGGGTTTTATAATGTTTTATATATATATATGGGTTTATTTTCGAAGGCCACTGGCTGAAAGTCAGGTCAACCAACTACGAGGTGTCGGGACTTATGTGTTTTATGTATTCTATAGGAGAACCTTTGCGCTTTGCACAATTGTATGGGTCCTCTGGATGCGAGCACTGATGGTTCTGTTGTAGTCTTGGAGTGTTATTAGAGATGCTTCTTCAGTGCTTGTCCAGGGAATGAATGCGAAGACTGCTTGACCACCTATTTTTGTACAAAGGGCCAAATCCAATTTGGTTGCTGTGAAGCCTGTGAAGCCTTCTTCGAAAGATACGCTTTGCACCATCATCGAATCGTGCCATTCAATGGCCAATTTCTTTCTTTCCGATTTCACCAAACCGGGTTGATCTTCAGCAACCAGATAAGGCCTACCGGCTTGTCCCGAGTGCCGATCTTCCGGCAGAAGCCCCTTCATTGCTACGTGTAGCTGCCATGTGTCGAGAATGCTTCAGGAATCAGCCGCCTAATGAGCTCTGCTCAGAATCGATAAAGAATGTAACAGGGCTGCGCCTGCTTTTGTTTGTCCTGAGCCCAAAAAGGGTTATGGAGTCCTAGAGGTTATGGCCATGCTGAACATGACATCGTCAAAGTTGAAGCGGTTGCTCTAGCTTGCTGCAGCAGGCAGCAGGCTTTAGTTCTGATTTACTTGTCGTAGCCGTAGGCACCATTTGTGAGGATGTGATCGAGGCACTCTCAGGATCTCTCAGGTACTTATGGGTGTCCCCTTGCAGTGTTCGTCTCTAAGCTATCAAAGTGGACCCTGGAAATGTTAGCTTCCGTTTTTTGAGCATGGACCAGTCTAGAAATCGTCAAGGTTCATCACAGTGTTTCTTGTCCTTCTTGGACGAAGCCGGCATACAAAGAGGTTGGTCCAGCTCAACCTTAGCCTTATTCTGTTTGTAGGGGTGGGTCATGTTTGTAGTTTTGCTTTGACCAGTGGAACAGAAGGACAAACCACGCCGGTCCTTTGAGTCGTGTTTCTGTTTCCAGGCTTTTGCGCCCGCGGAGAAATCTTAAGTCTGTTCATGTCTTTTGGGAATGAACATGAAGCTTTCTCACATGACATCAGTTTGTCGTTTCAAGCGCACCAGGAGACGACGAAAAGCTGAAACAACCTGACCTGATGAGGTCAGCAACACCCGGTGCCCCGGCGCCCTCTCAAATGATTCTAGACCGTTTGTTGGGGTATACAATCCGGCACCCAAGCCCCTGGCCCTAGAAGTCACGGAGTAAAATCCAGAGCACGCAGAAAACATCAAGCCGCTTTAAGCATCTTTAAGCTAATGGTCGTGCTTCGTGGCGCTTAGCCTATTGGGCAGGAAGTGCAGCAGCTGCGGAACAAGGCCTTGGTGGTCAAGACATTTGGTCGGGATTTTTTTGGTAGGGTCAGCATAGGATCTGGCGGAGCAAACTGGGCATTGGACCAATTGGACCAAAGACCTGGGCATGTTTTGTCCTAAGCTGCGGATGATGGGTGTATGTGTTCCACGGCAAGTGCAACTGGAGAGAGGATTGCTGACTGAGAGCCCTGTTCACCCCAGTGGTGGAAACATTCGACCGCAAAAGGTTGCTTTCTTGTTACTAGTGGTACAATGGCCTCCAACCCAGTGGCGATGGCCTGGAACCTAATGGCGATGGCCTCCCACCTAGTTGCTTCTGAACACATGTTGATGGCCGATGCCTTTTCTCAGTTCAAACCGACGCCATGGAGCCACAAGACCATGCTCCAGAACCGTGTCTTGGTGAGTCCTAGTTGCTTTGTGCTCAGTTGGTGTAGAATCTTCACATCATTGTGGAGGTCAAACAAGGATCCAGAGTGCATGTGTGTGTGTGTGACATGTAATGCCTTGCCCCGTGGCAGGTTTCACTAGACTAGTGACTAGACATTCAATGGATTCAATGGTCAACTTTTTACTGAATTGTTCACCTCCACTTGTCTATGGACTGCGTACTTCCCCAGCAGTGGCTTACCGAGGAAGGCGAAGGCTCATCCAATACCACCTCCTCGTGGCAGTGAGCTAGAAAAAGGCGCCGTGCACGCCGCATGGAAGGCCAAGGAGAGCATGATGTTGGAAGCGTGGAGCGCATGGAGAACGGCAAACACACCAGCTTTACTTCCAGCAAACATCAGCAAACATCATATGGTCCATATGGTTTTTCACAGAGATTTCTCCCACAGCGTGAGCTCAACTCAAGGAGCTCAAAAGAGAGCAACATAAAGTGGAATTGCGCGGCGCCGAGCGTTTGGCCTCTTGGCAGGATGGGAAGTTGTGTGAAAGCGGGCGTGCAGCACAAAAACACTAATAAATGGCTACACAAGACTCAAGACTTAGAATGAGAGGTTGACCTGGTGAGGTTCCTGGTGAGGTTGACCTGGTGTTGCAGATTGAAATCCTTCATAAAACAATGGTTATTATGGTTATTCGGCAACACCCATTGAATCGATGGTGGATTGAACCCTAGTGCATACATCATATACATCATTGCAGGGCAGGCACCTTGACGGCCAGATCGAAAAAGAGCCCACATCCTGCATCCACATGCGCATTTGCCATCAAACACGCCAAACCACAGTGACCTGTAGCGCGATGCATTTTTTCCTAACCATATTCATAAAAGCATGTTGGCTAAAGATCCGTCAACGAAGTCAAGGGTTCGGCTTGCTTCACTCAATGGTATTCCCAAGTCACTGACCCAACAGATTCCAATCGTGTGGAGAGACTCAAGTGGACCTCATGGGCAATTCTTGCGTCTTCGTGCTTTGCCTCTGACTTTGCACCACAAGTTTCACACAATCAGATTCAGAGCCATTGAACACTTTGGAAGCACAAGCCATGGAATGTTGAAATACACAAGAATGATCCCGGGATCCCTGGTGATGAATCTACTGCAGGCAGCGCGGCTGCACCACCAAAATCCCCCGAAAGAGCCACAACCTCAAGTTCATGGAAATTCTGTTCTCAGCAAGATAGATAAGATATGATAAGATAGGTTACCTCGGAATCCCAAGTTTCCTTCGTTTCCCACCCTTGGCTCGCAAAACTGGTGAGGCCTTCGCTCGGGAGAGGCACCGGGCTTTTCGGGCTCGACAGCTTCGAGCAGCTTGACCGGTTCGGCTTCAATCGTTTCCATCGAAACGGCGAAACGTGTTGATGTGGGCTTGTTCCTAGTAGCTTCTTGTTACTACTAGTGAGGCACCTGTTACTAGTAGCGTGGCACTTGTTTCTACTAGCTTCTTGTTACTACTAGTAAGGCACTTGTTGCTAGTAGCGATGCACTTGTTCCTAGTAGCAAATAGGCTGACCTGGGAAGGTTTCTGATTTTGGTCCGCTTGATTCCGTACTTTCTCCCTCGCTGGGGAGGTCTTGAAGAGGTGCGTGGCCAGAGTTGGATTTTGTAAAGCTTCTGTACACAATCAACAGGATGACGCACTTTAGACTTTCCTACGTGGGAATTGTTATGTTGAAGAGCTTCTGGGGAATATATGCACAGCTCTTGGGACCGGTAAACCTTTCATTTACATATGGAGTCTAGAGGCTTTCAACGAAGCTAAGTGTTTGTGCGCGGGTGGCGGTGGTGGAAAGTAGTGCCCATGGTGGTGGCCGCGGTGTGCCGCTTTCATCCTTTTGCTCACACATGCAATTAAGGATCGCGAGGCTGCTGCAGAAAGCCTGCAACGTGATATCTCCCAGGCTCAGGAGAGCAATCCGAAAAAGCGATGCAGATCAAGCTAGTACGCAGGTCAATTCGTCTTACTTGGCAAGCGGTTTTGTCAAAGTGCTCTGTTTGGATTGTTTGGTACCCTTACAGGATGCGCGGAAGCACGTTTGCCAATTGGTGGCCACATCAAGTGTGCTGCACGTTGCTACCAAGGAATAATCATACCGAGGTAAAGGTGCTGCTCGCAACCAAAACGCTTGGCTTGTTGATCGTCAGAACCATCCTAAGTGGCAGGAGCACCTGTGGAAGACTCAGATACAGACAGATGCAGCCCTCGAGGAGATGGAAGCTCAACATGGCGTCTATCAGGCTGTGGGGGATGTGCTGTTGACTTTTGGTATGCCATGAATTTCTGGTGAAAAACGGTGTCTCACATTTCGAAGCAAGAAAGACCTGTAAGAGGCTTGTATACATGAGTATACACTGGTGCATACAATGCTATACATATCGTATCATATCATATCATATCAATCATGTCAGATCATTGTAACACGATATGCATACAGAATATTCATTCCATTTGTTTCTTCACTGGCCTTTCCTGGCTGCTTGAGAAATTATCAGGCTCAGGAAGCCGAAGCCCACTTGGCCAAGCAGTGCCTTTGATCGTTGGATCAGTGGTGTCTATTCCGTATCAACGCGGAATCATGGTGAACATGGAGCAGTGTAGCCAGGAAGAGGCCATTCTATCTTTGTTTTTTGGCACAGGGAGAGGCCATTCATACTTGCATTCATTCTGAGGAACATTTGCAGCACTACATGTGCACGCATGCCCCCCCGGAAAACGGTCAGATCAGTTCTGTACAGGAAGCACAGTTGCACAATTGACATGATACAATATTCCGTTGAAAAGGGGGAAAGAGTTGTAGCTCATTGCCCTTTTTTGCAGATGGACGTGATTTGATGACTTCCCAAAGTGTGTTCCCTTTTCTTCTCCAACAGAGTGAATCATCTCAGCAAAGATCCCACCGAGGCGCGCGCAGCAGCGGGTCTTCGGCTCCCGTGAAGAGTCGGCCACCTTCAGCGCCTGGACCGAGACCGAGGCGCACACAGCACTGCGCCAGGCCGAGGAGGCGCCGGTGAGTCCCACCGAGGGCGAGTTGATCGAATTCAAGAGGGTCATGCCTGGCAGTTGTAGGCAAAGATGTCCATGAGGCGCAGGTAAAGTGATATCCTGGATGTATTTTGCTTACCATTTCAGTTTGTTGCTCATATCGACATGTCTATAGGGCCATTCAAGATATGTTTGGAAGGATTTGGAAGGTAGTCGCTTAGAGAGGCTTATGAGACTAAGCTTTAAGAGGGGCGCAATCTGAACATTGTTGAACACAACGGCCTTTTCACTGCGCTTTCAATTGGGTGCAGTTAAAGAAACTGCCGCCCAGGTTTGGGACGATTGAGTTTTGATTCAATGTATTTCGCGACATCTCACACGAATGAGTCCAAAGTTGGTTTTGAGGCAGTTGAAGCAAGAAAGTCAGAAGTGAAGAATGTGGTGGACTTTCACCGCACAGACCGTTTGGAGTTCAAGGAGTTGAGTTGTGTCACTTGCTGGTGCATCAGGTTTTGCTTGTTTTGCACTCTCATTGTTCAAACACTTCGAGCTTCAGTTGGCGGCTGTTAGGGTGAAGTACTTTTCCGGTCAGAAGTTGCAACACAGCAAACCAGAACTCTGTGTCCCTGACCAAAGGGCCCTGGTGCTACTGACAAGCTCTAGTGAACCAGGAGAAGCTCCTACAAGATATTGCAGCAAGGGAGGCGGAAACCAAAGCCTTTGTGGAAGATGTGATCCACCAAACTAAGTCAAGTGACTTGGTGGTGCTCTGGAAGCTGGCAGAACAATCACTTGGATGGTCTCCACCAAATTATATCCTTCAGCATGCTTCTATTCAGAGATGAGGTTTTTTGCCCATGTTTGCAACTGTTAACATGTGTTAACGCTGTCAACATGTTTGCACTATCGATCAGAATCGGATGAGAGCAACTGGACCATAATACCTCGGATTGTCCACTCTCCAACTGGCACATCGGAGGGAAGTGAGAGCTCCATTCTCCCCGTGACATACGCTGTGGCACCCCCTGGAACTTTGATCTTGGGATGCATGTTTGCTCTCCTGACATGTTCCGTGTTCCTGAAGAGCGATCTTGTCGGTTCCACAGTTGGGGTGCTCATGAAGAAATACCAAGGCCTTCGACTAAAAGAATCACAGCGGCACCACGCTGTTTCACACTTGGACAAGGTTGCAGAGATGCACCAGGCCACCAGGACACAAGCACAGGCCCGACTGGCAGGGATGGGAAGGTGTCACCCTATTGCCTGGGAGTGAAAGACTATAAAGAGAATGGTCTTTAGGTGACCCGAGTCAAGGAATTTCCTTTATTTACTTCAGTCGGTCAAAATATCATCTTTGGACTTCAGTCGGTCTATTTATGGTTTTTGCTGTGCCTTCGACCCTTCGAATTGACACACGCGACGCGGCACGTCACGCACGCGTCATGGTGAGCTGCGGGTGTTTGGAGACATGCATCATTTGCATCATGGTGAAAGCATTGAACACAACAGTTGTGCGTTTCTTGGAGCATGTCCATTGGGCCCATTTGGGGCCCCATTGCCAGCACAGTTCCTGTGGATATTACTTCTTTGCCCACGAGATTTGACGGATGCAGGGCCGAATGAAGCTACATGAAGAAAAGTCCAAGCAGCAGGTGAAGGAGACGACACAACATCCCAACTGTCACTGCTCCGCTTCATGCTGCGTAACGGCACACATCTGTTCTTTTTGAGCTAGTTCTTGGTATCTGGTGTGCCTGTTGAAGAAATACGGTACTTGTATTGGTCGACATGGCAGTGGCAGTGACCTGTCTTGCATGCCTCAAATCTGTCACAGCAGTTGGTTGAGGGTGTTTGATCACCCAATAAAAGTCAAGACGGCTGAAATGAGATGAAACGCCCCTTGTATGTGGGTGACTGCTTGTAGCCGGAGGAGCTGGAGAAGATGACGCACCAACTACGAATGCGCAGCGACGAGGTGGAAACGATTCCCAAGGAAGCTTTGGTCGTCGTTACTAATTAGAAGTTACTAGAAAGCTTTCGTAAGAAGCTTCAAAGACATACTGAAAAGCTGTCTCGTTACTAGTAGCGATGGCCTCCAACCTACTAGCGATGGCCTCCACCTAGTAGCTCCTAGTTTCTAGAGGGAGGGGGAGCTTGATCTTCACCAAATGTCCATTCGTGAACTTGATCTCATGCCTCTATATTGTGTTGACCTTTGAGTCATTCACACGAATAGATAAGAATAATTTGAATGTATTGTATTGGTATTTTTGGTGACCTTGGCAGACCTACTATACCTATCATGTGTCTCAGCAAGCTGCTCAGCTGCTCCATTTGGCCAGGCCTTGGCAGAGAAGATGACCCAAACCACTGGTCATTTAGCTGCGGCCAAGGCCTTTTGCGCCGAGGTGGGATGTCGAAACCATTGAAATGGCGGGCGTGTGCTGCTTTCAGCAGCAAGGACAGCAAGGATGCTCGAGGATGATCCTCAGAGATCTCTATGGTTTCCTGAGGGGTAGACCAAATGCCCTTTTGCGCAGGTGAAGGCCAGTATTGGTGAAGAGATCCGACTGGCCAAACTCAATGTAGCCAAGATTGAGGAGGAAGCGGCCATGAACACGCGGAACGAACAGCGTAGCCTTGTCCAAGACTGCTGAAATTGGGAGGGATGGATGAAAGCATGTACCAGTGTGCCAATCTGTTCCAGCAGACGTGAGAATCCATGTCTCATTTAAAGGTGAGTGGCCTGAGTGGGTGACTCAAAAGGCAGACTTTAGTTTGGGTTCCAGGTTGTCCGATGCAGTACCTTAGGTGGTCAGCAGATTCACTTGCAATACCGCCTGCTTCGCATTTCCAGTTGCATGTTGTATGGCGCTGGAACCATGCACACTAAGGTAAGGTTCAAGAATTGGAATCCAAAGCGCTGGACAATTTCAAGGAGTCAGTGGAAGAAGCTCAAAGCACTTGGCAAGAGACGGCGACAAAGCGTAAAGCCTTGCAGGCCAGTTCGATTGCATTCCTTGACTTGATGACGTTGGACGGATTCTGAGTTGCAAGGTCGTGCGACATGAAGTTTGTTTCTGGCCTTTGGTGCAGGCGGAATTGGAAGACCTTCATGCAAAGTACCAGAGCCTGCACGATGCCACCCAAGCAAAGACTGCTAGTGCCGGCAGTGTTTGAACTTTTTGTCGCCACTGATGTAGAGAAGGCAATGGCAATGGAAACAACGGTGGATGTTCGTCACAAGCTCCGTGCATCATGCCGAATCCGAGCTTCTGTGCCCCTTCCTCCAGGATGAAATCCATCATGGAGGAGTGGAAGAAAGACCGTGAATCCATGGAGGAGAAGGTTAAGGCTTGCGAGGAACGACGCCAGGCGGGTCCCTTTCATTCTGGGCTTTAGAAGGATGAGATGGCATGTCCTGGTGGCTGTAGCAAGGACTTGCAGCAGTTGCTATTGCTCTGACCACTTGAATGGGCTGCGTGCTACTATGACACCAACCCCTTGTCTGCAGATATTGAAACTACATTTATGCACACATATAGTTATATAAATATACATATGGCACGTTATTTTATGTCCCTAGGAGCTTGGTTGTTGGATGTAATCGGAATTGGGTTGGCTTCTCGGCAGTGCAGATCTCCAGTGACCCCAGCATGAACCGGCATTTTGGCCAGGAAGCTTTCGACGGCGTTACTCAGGCCATGAGACAGACCACAGAGGCCATGGAGGCCAGATGCCACTTACACATTTCATCACTTTGGATGAAGATAGTTGGGGGCTAGTACTTGATAAATCTTGATAATATGGCTTGTTGAATTTTGCTTTCACGTTATGGCATCTAGCTTGACAGGTCGCAAAGAACTATTGGTAGTTCACTGCTCATTTGAGGCTTCTCATAGCAAACGAGAGAGGTTTTGTGCTTTGGGCTAGGCCAGAAATAAGGAGATGCAAGAGAGCTGCATTCAGATTGTTCTGCAGCAACTTGGTGGCTCAATATTGGAATGTTTTTGTCTCTACTTGGTCACTTTGCTGTAGACTGTAGACTCAGCGTCAGTAGACCTGGCCTTCGATGTATAGTTCTGAGTATCGCTATTTGGCTGTTTTGAACTCCCATGCCTGGCCATGACATGAACTCTGCATCGCGATGCGCAACGAAGCACTCCCATTCCTTTGTAAGGTGCCAGCGCCAGAGTGAGGACCAGGTCTTCCAGACCTACGAGACGGCGGCGGAGGCGGCGCGCAGGGAGGAGCTCTTTGCCGACGAGACGCTGAAAGAAGCGCAGCAGTGGAAGGGACAGATACAGGTGCCCCGTGTGAGGGGAAGAGTGGAGGAACATGGGGTGGATTTGGTGATGAGTTGATACTGCCAGGATCGACAAATGAAACAGATAATTTAGACACTTCTAAGTTGACATCAGGGGAGATGAACAATCCGCATCAAGACAGAGCACTGAGGATAGACAGCCACACAAAGCCACGCCGTTTCAAACTTGGGGGCGCAATGTCGATTTGGCACACGGGCTAAAACAAATCACTTCGTGTGGAGCCTCGCTGCAAGAAATGCTGACTCATTATGCAAAAAACGGCATTGTGTGCGTCGGCGTTGAGGCGCATCATGCCCGTTTATATGGAGGATGTACACCCGAAATTTGGTGCAGTTGGAAAGTTTGGTGAAACTTAAGGCCCAAACTTGAACCCTTGACAGTAGTCTCTTGAGTGATCATCCAAGCTTGATGAAGTCTCAGGGCATCGAAGAGAGGGCCGATGAAGAGATCAACGCCTACCAACTGCGGGCCCAGTCCGTGGAAGTTCAATTGGAAAAGGATGCCCAAGCCCAGGCGACGCCGTCGGCAAGACTTGTTCGGACATAGGCTGTTTTCACCTGGACAAGATGTGGTGTGCCTGGATAGCCAGGCTGTAAATTGGAAGTTGTGTGGCCCTGTGTGTGGCAAAGCTTAAGTTAGGTTTTGCTTTCCCATTTTCAGATGTTGCATCACCTGCAGGTAAATCTGTCAAAGTTGCCCGGCTGAGATCGACGCGATTTTGAGATTAGTCTATGATGCTGGGGCATGCTAGATCATGCTGACAAGTTTTCCCAAACATGCTGTTGCTCGAGCTTAATTACACATTAATATTAGTTATAACTACTGTATACTGCATAACTGTAAAACTATAGAATTTACTAATATAAAATAGGATTTGCTTTGGCAATCAGTACCAATTGAAGCTTGGACGTGAAGTCCTGGCACCCCGAGGCGCCTTGCGCAAACAGCACACGAGGAGGAGAAGGTGGGAGCAAGAGATCACGTTTGTTCTATTTTTCCCTGGCACTTTTCTTTGCCATTACATATGCCATCAAGACCAACAATGTCCCCCCATGCCTACACGCTCTTTTGATTCTATGGACTACCGCCGTAGTTGTACGAAAAGACACAGACTCCACAGGTCTACATCTCCGAGACGGCTGCGGCCTGGGCACGGCTTCGGAAGGCCTGCTACCATCTTCGCCTTGCGAATCTCCACGCTGCTGGGATGCAGTCGAAATCATGGACTGAGTGACAGCGTTATGGAGTCGTGTTTATCATGTGCATGTTTCCATCATGGTTTTGCCATTTGTTTGAAAAACTTGAACCATCTTAATCTACGGGCTTTCATCAGCAGTTGTCAATGGTTATCATGATTTCCGGTTCCCAGTTGAAGGCAAACCTGTTGCAAATTGCGTTGGCAATGTTAAGCAGATTTCAATACGACCAGTCCTTCAAAAACTTCATAAGTAATCACACCAATTCAAGCACTTGTTTGCCTCATGCCTTGATGCCCAAGGACTTTGCCAAGAGCATCACGGCTGGGGAATTTGATGCCAAAATTGGGAGCGAGAACTGACTCCGCAACGTTCCTCGGAAGTTGTTCTTGATGGCTTGGAGCAGGTGAAGAAGACCTAAACAGGATGCTTTAAAATCTGAAAACTTGACTGACACCCAGTCATAGAACCAGGAGAGTCGTTCACAGGTGTTGGCGCCAAAAATGCCAGGATGTTGAACTGCTCTGACAAACAGGGTTTTTGCACATGCTGACATGGCAGTTTTTCAGCACGTTGGTTCTCCCACTTGGGGAGCAAAGCCGAACCAACAGGAGGCGAGAATCTATGTTTCATGGGGTGCGAGGAAGATCCTTGCTGTCAAAGCACACCCATGAAGGGCGGACTGTGCTCATGAGATTCCATTGTCTAATCTGTGAGGGGGGTTTCCGTGAAGAGAAAGGCCGGACATCCTTCCATGGGCACAACTCTATGTGTTTCACCGTTTTCCCGCCGGTACGAAGATGGCATGGCCATCGCTCCACGTTTCACAGCAGGAGCCACGCCAGTTTGCACTCCAAGGATCCAAAAAGATAGCTGATTTCATGTGTCCCCTGCAACTTCGCACCTGTAATCACGGACCTCTTTTTACGATTCTTTGGGCTGGTTTTGATACTAGATACATGATACAGGTGATAGACTCTTTCTCCGAGAGATCGTGATCCCACAGAGCTCATGAACTTGGGCCGCTTACTGGCCCTAACACGCCCTGCAGTCTGCAAACCTTCCAACGGAGTCCAACGATCAGACGTGGCAAGGTGGAAGAGGCTGACCAGAAGGTGGCAGAGGTCAAAAAGCGGGTGAAGCACCTAGAGACAGACACTCCAGGTGGCAATTGTCGGCACAGTTCCATCCAAGTTCCAAACTGGTGGTTTTGGGCATTGTTTCGCTGTTCAGTGCCTCTATGCAACAGCGGAGAGAGAGAGAGAGAGAACTCCCATGCAAGAAAGGCATGCGTGCTGCTGTTAAGGTTTATTGAAAGATCATATAGTCGAAGCCATGCATTTTTCTACCCCTTTCCCTAATTACATTTCTACCGAGGATTGGCAGTTGCGAGATCGCATTGAGAGTGCCCCAGCAGCAGGATGAGAAGGATGGTCATACCCAGATCATCTCAGATAACACCACTTGGACGGGCACCCTTCCTCACAGCACTCCAAATCACAAATACTGCATCAGCAACAACGGTCAACTCATTACTTCTCACCCTCCCTAGTACCATCCATCCTTTGCACAAGGGGTCAGCAAATACGCCTTTGCTATTGCTTTTTTGACTGATAAGAGTTTGTGTGACGCAACTCATGTCCACTCTCAGGTCTGGAGGAGAATGAGGCCAATGCCGAAGGACAACTCAAATGGATGAGGCGACCCATGGAATCGTTTTGCTGGTGTGCCCCGGACAGACACGTCAGCCTAGCCGAGCAAGACTATATAATAATACTATATATTATATACGCAAACTTTACAGGCCTGGGGTGCTTCAAGACATGTTTTTTTTCCAGAAGCTCCCCATATTGTCGGACTCTGGACGTACTCCGGGTTGCCAATATCCCAAGCATGCCACATGTCTCCATGTGTTCGTGCGGGGCTATGCCTGCCATGCCTTTTCAAAGGTCCGAGTTGGACCTTCGCACGTCCGAGCTGGAGACAGCCGGGCACCAGGAGACCGGTCAGCGGAGCCGTCAGATTGGGCATGCTGTAATGCTCATGAGATCTCATGAGGTGAACCAAATAGGTGCAGATTTGGGCAAGTTCTTCTGAATCTTCCATCTTTGTTGGGTACCAGTACTGGTTTATGAGCAGAAACATAGTACTATATAGTACTGGTTGATGCTGCATTCAGGCCATTCGGCACTCTGAGGCCAATCGAGACCTGGTGGCGAGTAGAGCGGAGAACGTACGGAAGCCCTGAGCTAGGTGGCTGCCAGATAGCCAAGTACCGAACACTTGTTTATATAGATTGCTGAACATCCAGACACAGAGGACCACAATCCAGGATAGCACAACTAGGATGAGAAGATCTTTTGTCACTTTGGAGCAATGAGCCATGCACCGCATTCTTATGAAGCACTTCTTGCTACAATCCATTGCATTTGGGCTGAGCCAGTTTCATTGAGCTCGCAGGAGGTGCGCATTTTGATTTTCTATTTTGCAGCCACTTGCAGCCAGCTTCAGGTGAAACTGACCAGCAGCTTGAAAGAATCAAAGGAGTCTTCTGCCAAGACTGAGCAGGAGTGAGAGAGGCTAGTGCCTTTGCACCGGGTCACGGTTCTATACTTAAACCTCCAAACATGGATATCCCCACACCTCACTCAACTGTCACTGTTAGGGGGGTGCTGTTCTGTTTGGGGTCGGAGACCACTCCAGGACCTTCAAGCCAGCCGAGCACGCGAGGAAGAGCTCAGGTCGGCGAGTAGAAGGTTTTGAAACGGGGCGAAGAAAGTTTTCAGATGTCAAATGTTATTTCAATCTTCCACTGAGTGACTGCACCACTTAGTGGTTGTTCTTATCGTATGTTTCTGCCCTCATTGCATCGTTGAACACTGCTTTTCTTGGAGAAGATGCACCAATTCGGTCGCGACAAATGTTGTGAAGCACGGCCAGAGTTAGCAGAGGTTAACAGCCTCAGAAGCGGGGAAGCGAGCTTCCCTAGCAGCAGGGGACCTCATCATACTGGCTAAACTAGCCAGTCATGCACTAGTCGAACGTGTTTAGAGTTGTCCGTGTTCAGAATAGGCCAGACTCAGGTTTCGATTTCTTTTTACGATTCTTCATTTCATGTATTTTTGGTTTCTGGCTCAAGTAAGAAGGGCTTCACCCCAAAGGGGTCCAGCCCAATGGAGATTTGCCCGTGGGTTGAAGATGGAACCTGAGGAGGTGGACGAGTTGGACGAGGAATCCTTTGGCTCTGACAGCAGTAGTGATGCAGAAAGTGTTCAGCCAATCATTCCACCTTCCCGACGCTTTGAAGCAGGTTTTCAGGGCGCTGATGGGATCTTCATCGATTTTGTGTGCCGCATGACGAAGAGCCGACACCCCCTTTTGGTTATGCTGCTTGGGGATGCCAAGTCCAGGCAACAAATGGCCAGAAGGGCATCTCGAAGTGTGGCAGGAGGGAAGATGCTTCGAAGTTATAAGGTGACTCGGCTTCAAGGATTGCCTCAAGGTCAAGAGTCTATCATCGAACCATATCGAACCTAGCTCACTGTCCCAGGTGAATTTGTCAATTTGAGGAGTGGCGACCTTCCTAATTAGACTCCAAAGCATTCCAAAGCCTTTCCTTACCCTAAGCCTATATATAAATCTATATACTACTTGAATCTATTTGACGACTACCAACCTTAACCTGAGTCACCCCAGAACTATTCTGCCTGTGCGGACAGATCCTTGCATGCCTTTTGAACAGATACACTAACATGAAGAAACTCCGTCGCTTGCAGCTCAGGACGCCAAAGATTTGATCAACTTCGAGAGGCTAGAATGGAACTTGATGGATTTATTGACCAGTTTCTGGAAGAAGCAGAAGCACCCAGGGTGGCTAACTCGACCTGATGCCCTGCAGCAGATTGTGCGCCGTATCCGCATGCATCAGAGAATGGAGCTTTGCGTGCAATCAGAGCTGGGTGAATACATTGTGGAGCTAGAGAAGCAGAAGACCCAAGTGCTGCAACAGGCTATGGTGGCAAAGCATGAAGAAAACGACACTTCTGACGAACCTTCACGTCGGCAAGGCTTTTGGCACACCTTCCACAGAGGCACTCGGAAAGGAGACTGGAGGCCTGTGACTCCGGCCAAGACCGAGTTGTACCTCCCCACCCTTGATGGGCGCGGTTGGGTGCCACCTCGGGCCAGCATATCCCAGGCTGTCCAGAAAGAAACGAAACCACTGTCCAGTGTGAAATCGGCACCGGAGTTGCGAAAGCGACTCCCATTTCTCACGCATGCACTGCAGGCCTCTTCAGAAGATCGGGATCAGAATCGATTCACTCCACCAGATTCCATGCGAAGGTGCCACCCTGACAGGAAGATGTGGTGGTTCCAATCAGGTTATGAGGAACGCCGACTATCCGTAGAGCAAAGAGAAGAGGTGATGTCCTCCAAGAGGTCATCCGCCCTGCCTAGTTTGCCTACCTTGGTGAAACACAGGTGTCCGATGTCGCACTTTGGAGAATGTCCTGTGGAACCAGCTGAGGTGGAGGAGAGAACTGTGCGACAAAGGAAGAACAACAGCAGAGGATTCAGAGGTCACCATCATTTACCTCCCATTGAAGATGCAGTGGTGCCAGTCTACGGTGATTCCGAAGACTTAGATGACGCCATTTCCCCCACCAAGCAGTACATTCATGCCTGCCAAAGGGAGCAGGTGGTGCCAGTGCCCTCCAGCTTCGTGACCGGACACTCGAAAAAGGTGGATGCTGGAGGCAAGACCCTGGTGGATTCGGACTTGTTGACCTTATGCGCAGTTGGTCGGTCAACCGGAGTAGAGGAGGTGGACTTTTCCGGGGGCAAGCTTTTGTCAGACTTTGTCTTAGGCACCTTCCTGGAAGATGTCTTGTTGGTGCCACACACGCCGCTCCGGATCCAGCGCTTGAGCTTGAAGGATTGCAGGAATGCCTCCTCAAGAGCCCAAGCTTCTGTAGTACAGCTGCTGCAAGGCCGGGCTAGGATATGCAGATACAATGATTATATATATATATATATATATATGACGCGGTTCATTTAGAGCAGGGTCACGAAAGATAACTTCAGTTACCTGAGTTGTGCCTGCTTTAGAGAAAACATGTATTGTAACGGAAAGCTGAGATTCACCAGACAAGCGGGGGCCTGGATCAAATCTCCCATGGAAGTTCGAAGCATTGCTGAACAGAAAGCTATAATTACCAGGACATGCTCACTTGGGGTTACTTCTTTCGCACCCGGGTGCATGCCCTCAAACTACCTTTCGTTCGCCATCCCAATTGCAATCCAAGTCATCCCAAGTCTGTAGGCATTCAGGGTGATTTTTGGTGCGTCTCAATGCTTGTCTCACCTGTAGTTTGTCGCCACAGGCGATTGTGGCTCCAAGCTGCGTTTCTTAGACCTCAGTGGCTTGTCTAAGACTTTTGAACGCATGCAAGCGACTGCAAGAGGCCATTCGTAGAGACCCGGCCATGGAACTAGTGCAGTGGGCGTGTTCTGTGTATATACATACATTACATTACATCCCATCCCATCCCATCCCATCCCATCCATACATTCATACATACATTCATACATTCATTCATTCATTCATAACATACATTACATACATTCATTACATACATTCATTACATACATACATACATACATACATACCTACCTACCTACCTACCTACCTACCTACCTACCTACCTACCTAC